AATATTTCAGTATTTCAGGGACAACAGGAATGATCATGGGGAGAAAGAATGCGTGTTTTTGCTTTAAAAGGAAAACCACCCTTCTCGATTGTTATTCGAGGCGTCCGTCATTCACCCGTACAATCAAAGAAATCTATCAAAACGCGATCCATCGAAATCCCGAAAACAGAAGACGGGCGATGATACCGAACGATACAGTATGCTGCGTTACGGTTTACGGTATGGATCGTACAGTATGGTAATGTACGATACGATACGGTATGAGGTGATTGCTTTTCTGATCTGTAATCCTTTTCGGCAACTCCAACGCACGAACACGATCCATCCAACAGAGAACAGAACAGAACAGAACCTATCCACTGACACCGATTCGAGCCAAACGCAGTCTAGTTCGCAACAAAAGAAAAATACCATGCCAGAGATCAATCTCGAGACCACCGTCGGGGGCATCCCGCTCTCTACCTGCGTTTACAATGCATCCGGTCCGCGAACGGGGGCTTCCGCCGCGCTGGCCAAGATCGCCGCCTCTTCGGCTGGTGCCATCCTGACCAAATCCGCCACCGTTGAGAAGCAGAACGGAAACCCGCAGCCCCGCATCTGGCACTCGGGGGACGATCTCGCGTCCATGAACTCCGAGGGGTTGCCGAACAGCGGAATCGACTACTATCTGTCCAAAACCACCATCGACGAAACCATGGAGGGGTGCGGTGGTGCCGCAAAGCCCTACCTGGTGTCGATTTCTGGTAAAACCCTGGCCGACAATCTTGTCATGCTGGACCGGATAGCGAAGACCATGGAGGAAGAAAAGAGAATCGTAGGTGTCGAACTGAATCTCGCCTGCCCGAACGTGATCGGCAAGCCGATCATTGCGTACGATTTTGACCAGATGAGGGACATCCTCGAGACGATTTCCAAGAAGAACTACGGTTTCGTGCTGGGTTTGAAACTCCCGCCCTACCTGGACGGCAAGCACCTGCAGCAGGCGGCCGCGATCATCAACGAGTACTCGGGAATGGTCAAGTACGTGGTGAGCATCAACACCATCGGCAACGCCCTCAGCGTCGACCCGATCTCCGAGGCTCCCTACATTGCCTCCAACAACGGCCTGGCCGGCCTGAGCGGGCCCGCCGCAAAGTTCACGGCCCTCGCGAACGTTCGCCAGATGCGCCAGCAGCTCGACAGCGGGATCGACGTGGTCGGAGTGGGCGGGATCACCACCGGCCGGGACGCCTTTGAGTTTTTGCTGTGCGGTGCCTCGGCCGTCCAGGTGGGCACCTGCCACTGGAAGGAGGGCCCGAAGTGCTTCGACCGAATCGTGGGCGAGCTGCGGGAGCTCCTGGCGGAAAAGGGGTACGCGAGCGCCAGGGACTGCATGGGCAAGCTCCGGCCCTGGTCCAAGGAGGGCGCTGCCAAGACGCGGGCCGCCAAGCGGGCCGCGAAGAGCCTGGAGGCGGCCGGGGGGTCCTCCACGGCCACCGCCACGGCCGGAAACACCCACCAGATCGTGCAGGTCGTTCTGGTGCTCGCCGTCGCGGTGTTGCTGGCCGACAAGCTCGGAACGATCAATTTGTAGCGGCGCGGGTGGGCCTTGTTCTCCTCGAGCAATTTCGAAACCAATCTACTTTTAATTTTTTTTCTAAAAGAACAGTTGCAGCACTAGTTACTCCGAGCGGCAACGAACGGGTTGAATGGTCGTGCTGTTGTTGCTTCAAATRTGTTTCATGCGGTTATTTTTTAAAATGTATTTCATTGCGAATTCTTTCCCCAATACAACGAATCGGCCAATACTTCGTTATTGGCTGGCATAGTACGAGTAGCGGTCCCGGCCGCTGCCCATGCGGGAGGAGGCCACGGACGAGGGCCCCTGGTGGTTGTGGTGGTGGTGCACCGCGTGGGGCGGCGGCGGCCGCCGTCCGTGTGGCGGGCCTCCCATCCCGCGGCCCTCGTAGGGGGAGGGGGGCACCGCGTGTGCGTGTGCGTTTGCATGCGCATGCGCGTACGGGTGGTGTGGTGGCTGCTGCTGCGGCGGCTCGTGCAGGGCCACCCGCCCCAGCCGGCTGCTGCTCCCGCTGCTTCCGCCGCTGCTGCTCCCCCCGCCGATCGAGATGCTTCCCTSGGAGCGGTGGTGCTGGTACAGGGGCTGGTTGTGCGGCTGGTGGTGTTGGTGCTGGTGGAATTGACTGCCGTGCCCGTGGGGGTCGTGCTGCGGGGGGTGGTGGTGGGAATAGGCTTCCTCGCCGGGGTCCCCCCGCCCGAGGACGGCGTCCGTGAGGCGGTTGGCTTCGCAGTACCGCAGCAGGTCCTCGGGAAACATCTGCCTCAGGTTGGCCGATGAGGTTCGATCCCTGTTTTGTTTCGTTTCGTTTCGTTTCGTTTCGTTTTGTATTGTTTTGTGGCGCGGAAGGATCGAAAGGGTGAGAACCGGCACCACACAAAACGCGAAAGGAAAGAAGGAATCGAAGCACAGCGGTTCCGAACGGACAAAAAAACAAGACGAGACAAGACTTACATTTCCATTCCCTTGAGAATCGTGTTGTCGTCGCTGACTTCGAAGGGCAGCGAAAAGTTGAAGGTGATAAAGGTCAGGTCCTTGGACATGTCGCACTTGGTTTCCGCGGACTTGTCGGTGTTGACGACCAGAAAGGGCAGCGGGATCTTCCCCTCGGGAACCCCCATCTTGCGTTCCTGGTGGTGTTGGAGTTGCCGGGCCTGTTCCTGGTGGTGGTTCCTCTGGACCAGGTTGCGGAARCAGACCTGCTGGACCAGCAGGTCCCTGAGGGCCTCCTTCTTCTGGGCGATCTGGTGCTCCCGGAGTTCGATCTCCTTTTCCATCGACTCCATGTCCTGCCTTGCCGCCGTGGGCAGTCCCTTCCAGGTGATTTCCTTCTTTTCCTTGGAGATGATGTCCATGGCCATGAGCACGTTGAGGGCGTCGTAGACCCGGCGGCGGATGTTCTTCTGGTCGAAGGAGCCGCCCGGGTCCTCCTCCTTGCGCTCGGCAACGACCTTCTTGACGAGCTCGTCGGCCACCTCGTTGTAGGTCGTCGTTCCCTTCTCCTCGACCTTCTGGCAGACCATCATGGAGAAGTGCCGGAGTCCCTTGGCGGCGTTCGTCCCGGTCGACCGGACGCTGGCCCCGTCGCCKCCCTGGGAGGACCTCGGGGAGGACCTCGGGGAGGACTTGCGGGCCTTCTTCGGGGCCCCGCTCGGGACGGCCCCCGGGTTCTCCTCCTCCGTCCGCCCCTTTTCGGCGGGGGAGGTGGGCCGGGAGGCCGGCGAGAGCGGGGAKGGGGCGGCGTCGAGGGAGGCGATCGCCGACGTGGGTTCCGGCCCGGAGACGGCGTCGGAAGGGCGCTTGCTGCCGGAAAGGGTGGAGGGATGGGTCGGGGACGCTGCCGATGCCGAGGACGACAAAGAAGAAGAAGACGCCGACGCAGATGCATTCTCGTAGGGCTGGGGGTGGAGCGGGGCGCCCTTGGAGGGTGGCTCCTGCTCCTCCTCCTGCTGTTGCTGTTGTTGTTGCTCCTGTTGTTGCTGCTGCTCCCGGGCCTGTAGCCGAACGGGATAGGGCGGAACGTGCTGGCCCTGGTACTGGTGGTGGTCCGACATGGTTGGGTGGAGACGATACGGATCTTTGGGCGGTGTGGAGGGCGATGCGATGGAATGGAATGCGATGCGATGCGATGCGATGCGATCCGTTTCGATAAACCGAAGGAAGGTTTTGTGTCAACTTCTGCCAAACAGCGGGTGTGTGTGTGCGTGTGTGTCAACTCTTTTTTCGTTCAGCGATTCGATTGTTCCCACGTTTGGTGGGTGTGGGGAGTACCACTGCTCGTGGTACAACACTCGTGGGGAGAAGCGCAACACGAGCTGGATACTACTGTGGATGCTACGAGCAACTGTGCTGTACGGACACGGACTACCGTCCTGCCCATGAAGATTATTGCCAGAGAACTGTTTTCTGTCACAGAGTCTTATAAACACACCCCGAAACTGGAGGGAACCCAGGGGAGTCGTCCGAGGCTTGGCGATTCAGTGGTTGAGTCGAGTAAAGGGAATTGGGTTTCCCTATGAAAACAGAATCGGCCCGTATCATCGACACGAGGCTTATGAACACGGTGGTCGAATCGATGCCCTCGAGTCACAGACCGGGAGGAACAATGAAAATCCCGGTTCGCGGACACCACGACAAACTCGACCGAGTACGAGTACGTACTCGTACCTGTGATTCTATCCCTGTGGGGGATTCGATTCGAAGCTGCCGTCCTTCCCGGCTGCCTCTCGTTTCTTGTGTTTAGCCGAACGACTCTTCCGGTCATCCTCGGACAGTGGTTCGACGCCTCCAACGGAGCCAACGACGAACAACGGACCCGGCCAACGGAATCCGGTGTTCCCGCCCTTTTTTGGGTCCGAAAAGGACTTGCACCCTGTCTCGATCGACRGCTCAAAACGGTACGTACCGTACGATGCGATACGCACGTTTTGAAAGGAGCATCCTCCTTTTCTGTGATGCCGGCACCGTCAGAATGGGCGGGAAAGACCGACCCACCCCGAACGCGACCAAAAGAGGGCGCCCTCGGGCMCGGACACCGAGGCATTGCGCCCGCTTTGTGACCCATGCAATACCACTTTCGCAATCTACTACGGTACGSTACCTATGTACCGTTTCGTACCGCGCCACCATGCTACTGTACTCAATTAAGAATAGTAATTGTACATTTATTATTATGACGGATCGGAACGCGCGCACCGCACCATGGGATTTGGACTTATGCCAGATTGGTCAACGGCTACGATACCCGTACCCTAAGCGTGCCATAGCCCCATCACAAGCAATACTATGGAGCAGTTGGTGTTTCCCAGAGCATAGTACGTACCCGTGCCGTACTGCCGGTACGTAAACTGTTTGAACAGATTCGAAAAACTTAAAACAAGCATGCCAAGGCGGTTGATCCGGGACTTCGATGTCCGCCGGTCATTCCTTCACACCATAAGGGCGTATGGTRTAACTACGTAGAACGTACGCCTGGCAGACCCCTCACACACGCACGTAACCCGTCATTATTATGGAACCTTAATACTCGTACCGTCACAACTCACAACTAAATACGGTTCGCACGGACAGGTACCGTACGGATGGTACAGTGCGTACGTACTCGTACTTTACTTCTACTACTAATAGTTTTGTTCTGCGGTCGGGTATGAACGTACTCAAAGTACATACAAGGGAGCGTACAAGTACGTACCTATCAAAGGACGGATTCGGGGTGCTATGATTGATGATTCACCACCGAAGGAAAACCGGGTCCCGCACGGTACGTCCGTCGCGCGCAGGGCGACCATAGCCATTTCGTTTTAGCGATGCACACTTCTCGCTTTTTTTACGAAACGAGACCCTCTCCTGCCTGGTACGAGCAAGTGCTTCGAACATCCCTGCGCTGTACGKACGAGTATCGTACAGTACSTACGTACGAGATCGCACCGCGTTGTCCCCGCGTGACAGAAGAATAGAAGCGTCGTGAACCTTCCCCAAAGAGTTCTCGTGACATGCATCCACTAGCTGCCATAGCCACGCACGGCACGCAAAGCACCAACAGCCCAACCAAAAGACAKCCCGCAAACCCCACGAGAGTTGGCGAACTTGTGGAATGGACGACACATAACGGGCACCATTCCCCACGAGAGAACCAAACTGGAACCAAACTCGAATCGAATCGAACCGAATCGAACCGAATCGATCACACCGGCATCGCAGCATACCATAGATACCAATCTCATAGCTAGCACTCACACGAACGACAAGGAACCGTCACCATGAACTGCGCCTTTCCAACCCTGGAGGGCTGCGACTACAACACGGCTTCGGATCTGGCGTCCGCTTGCTTCGTCGACCACGACGAGGAGGCAATCCGGAGGAAAAGCCGCAACGGATTTTTCTGGAGGCAGGACGGGATGCTGCAGAAGGTCRAGCGGCGACCGAGCTATCGCGACGGCGGCGGCGACGACGACGGTTGCGACCACCACACCATCGGCGACACCACCATCGGCGACACCGCCAGGAGCATCCTCTGCGACGCACGGAGCCAGCTGGGGCACAGCCGGTCCCACTCCTCCTCCGACGGGGGAATCGTGCGGAAGTTCGTKGGYGCCGCCTACGTCCGGGAGGCGGACTCCTTCCTCGAACCCGGCCGCGCCAACGCGGACGACGACGTCGTCGCCGACGAAGACACGACGGTGGCCTTGTCGGCCTTTGTCTCCAGCGACTACGCCTTTCGGGAGAGCCGCCGGACCGCCGACCGGTTCGGCGGCGAAACGCCGGTAGCGGCGGAAGCGAGCGGRCGCCCTSGGAGCAACCGCAGCTGCGACAGCGAGGAAACGGGCTCCCTCGTGTCCTACCGAACGGAATGGACCAATGCGACGGCGGCAACCGCAACACCAAACGGAACCAAACAAGGGGAGTTCTTCCGCTGGCAGTCCTCGACCACCCCCAACGAACAGGAACACCTCCAGCGGCTCCACGAGGAATTCCAGCAGCACAAGAAATCCTACCAGCAGCAACTCCAGCAACGCCAGCAATACGAGCAGCAGCAATACGAGCACCAACACGCACAGCCAAAACGACAACCGCACCAGCACCAGCACCAGCAATACGAGGACAGGCGATGGCAAAAGCAACGCCAGCAGCAGCAGCAGCAGCAATACGAGGAACAGCACTATCCAAGCGACCAATACCACCACCACCACCACCACCACCAGCAGCAGCAGCAGCAGCAACAACAGCACCAGCACTACGACCAGGAAAACACCCCGAGGGGACCCGCCTCGCCCACCGACAGCGTCGGAGCCGTGCGGCCCACGAGGGGTGGRCGCTCGGCCAACACCGAAGCCGACGACAAGAAGAGCCACTACTCGGCCTTTGACTACATCCGCGCGGTCCAGCGACAGTTCACGCAACCCTACAAGGACCCGCCCTCCGACAAATCCATGGCTACCTCCGATTCCATCCGGGCCGAAGACGCGGGGTCGGCACTCTACAAGAAAGGATACCTGCCCCAGAAAAAATACGAGAACGAACTCGTGAAGCAGATTGTCAAAAGAAGGCATCTGGCGCTTATCCAGGCGGGCGAAGAGCCCTGATCGATCTCCGGTTCCGCTCCAACGGACCACGATTCGATACGACGTGTGTCCTAGCGGTTGCTGTGTTGCGTTTACGATGTGCATTCACTGGTACTGTACTTAAAATTTTGCTAGTCGGAAACGACAATATAGCGACCATCGATTCTCTATGTTTGTACGAATAGTAGCATGTAGAACATCGTTATAAAGAAAATGTCTTTCTCTACGACCCCGTTCGTCGTGCTTAAATTTGTCGTGTTTTTCTGAAAATAATTATCGATACGTTGCATTAGTTTTCTAGCTTTCAAAAAATACGGAATGGACACCGAAGGCCAAAAAGATAATGCCCCCAAAGATGCTGACCGTYTTTTCCGAGATTCTTGCTGCCAGCATGCGTCCACCTAGGACTGCTAGGCCGGTACACATAGTGTGTCCGATRCACCCACCAAGGGTCACCCCATACGGGTTTTTGGCCGCACTCAACGCAATCGTGGCGATCTGAGACCGGTCTCCCCATTCTGCCAAAAACGTCAGCGTGAAGGACTGCATAGCCACTTCCGAAAATCCCTTTCGAATGGAGTTGCTAGTGACGGCTTGTTGCGACTCTTCGTCGCGTTCGTCCTTCTTGGGATGCAACAATTCTTCCTCAACTTCCTCCAATTCTTCGCTGACCTGACTGCTGTTCATCCCCTTGGCATCGATCAACAATTTGAAACCAAAATACAAAAACAAAACACCTCCCAAGATGTGGGTGTACTTGACAGGAACAAATTTAGGTAAGACTAGGCCCATCATGCTCGACAAGACCGTCATTAAGTAAAGACTGAAGACAGCTCCAAGGAAGACTGCTGATCGCTTTTGTCGCATACTCAAAACCGCCGCAATGAAAAATGTCTTGTCACCGATTTCTGTAGCCAAAATCATGGCTACTCCACTAGTGAAACCCTTCATAAACCCTCCGTTGTTGGCAGGCAGCCAACTGCCGAAACCACTGGAAAGTTCTCCGGCAATCAGTGGCCAGCCCGATTTGTATTCGGCTTTGCTCAACATATTGTCATGATTAAGGTCTAAGCGTTCAAAGAGACCCTCGGGGGGAGTTGGAGCGTCATCAGTAAGGGCGAGATTTGCGTCTCCACTTGCAGCAGACGCGTCCTTTTCCGGATCAGCAGCTGCCACCAAAAACGAATTTCTGCTGCTTCCGTTTCTGTTCAGCAAGGTAAGGCATGCTATGAAGAACAGAACAAATAATCGAGAGAACGGAGATGACCGTTTCAAGCATTGCCTGTCAATCCTCATCTTAGAGCCAACTTGTTTCTTTAAAAAAATTGTTGGTGGTCACGATGTCTTCACTTTCTGCCGGCTGTATCGGATATTTATTGTCGCTCACGAACCTTCTCACTATCCTGGTTTCTAAGACAATGGAACGTAACTTTTAATCGAAAAAGGATGATGCACCGATAGTTCTGATACACGGAAGCCGGAGGTCTGGRATCTGGGACAACAGTTGTCGAAGTATGTAGTACTGTAATTCGTAATTCAATAAGGTAGTCGTACCGCTACTCGTACTTGTGCTGCTGAGGTACAATTTTGTTCGCTTTCAAGCAAACGTATTCAAAAAGACGGTTTGTTTGTTTGTTTGTTTTCGAACAAGACCGTGAACGGTTACGAGTTAAGGGTCATTATTTTAAGAGCGCTGCGCATATTGTATTAGGTGTCATCAACGCGCACAACTACCTTCATGGTACAGCCGAAACCACTGATACATCACTGGTACCAAATTTTTGCAACCGATTTCTCAAAACGGTCGAAGGAGTCTATCGGTACTTAAAATACGTAGGTTTTTACGTAGGCTATAACACGTCACTTAGCCCCACTCCAGTTACCACCGTACTTACCTCCCCTACATGAATTCTGGTAGGAATTCTACTGTGCAACCKTATTGGCTTTTCTGCTGTGGTCGCATCCGTACCTCTTTGGGTTGCTTAAGACAGAGCAAATTACACTGAGAATGCAACCATTTTGCAACTCCCTCCGGTTGACTCACGAGAGGTGCATTTTTTTGCTCACAAAATAACAATACTCGCATACGAGTRCCGGTTCAAGCAAAACCCMAAGCAAGACAAGCAAATCATAACTATCGAAAAACAGTAGCACAGCAGCAGTATCAAGAAGAACACTACTACTACTAAGTATCGAAAAACACACAGCAGCTGTGCAGTATCATAGCCCCCTTTGCTGCTGACTCACCACGACGCGACGCGTTGACTCACGACGCGAGAGGTGCACTTCTTGTTGCTCACAAAATAACACTTACRAGTATCGCGTACGATACAAGTAGTACCGGTTCAAGCAAAACCCCAAGCACCAAGACAAGCCCTGTTGACTCACAAGAGGTGCTGCTTTTTTGCTCACAAAATAGCAGTTGCTTGCTCGCATCCTAGTACGAGTACAAGCAAAACCCCAAGCAAGAAGCAAAAAATACGAGCAGTCGCATACGAGCAGTGAGCAGTAGGAGTACTACTAAGTATGGCAAGAACACGTACAAGAAGAACAAGACAACTGGCTCGGAAAAGAAGGGGGGGCACTGTAACGCCTCCACGAGATGTGAACCAGCCAGGGCAATGGGGGAGATATCATAAGATTCTGCTTGAGTTAATGGATCATGTACATGGAAGAGTGGATGGAGGAGGAGACGACAATGGAGATGATCGGTTTCCGAGTGATACTATATTCACACCAGAGCAGCTGAGTATTCTAACGCCGGATCATATTTACAAGTTCTTTGCAAAGAAAGCTTTTGGTCGGGAGGATCCTGGTGTCGATGATAATCCTACTCATGGTAGATCAACGTCCCTAATCTATTACAAGAAAGCAATCTCCTATTTTATGCCAAACAAGATGCACAAATGGACTGTTGTTGGTGGTGTTGGAAGTGGGAATCCTACCAAGTCACAGAAAGTTAATGACCTTATTGCGGCTGTTGTCAAGAAGGAAACCAGAGGACTTGGACAAGCAAGCAGCATGGATAGGCCTCTTACAAAGGATGAGTTTTTGCAAACACTAGAACTGATGTCACATCATGGCTCCATTACCAATCGACTGAGGTTCCTTGCAATGCTTAAGTTCCAGGTTCACTTGATAGGTCGGAATGATGATATGGCTCACGTTGGCAAAGACAGCTTGGAGAGATCAACTGAATTTCCCCAGTTTCTTACAGCAAAGATGAAGTGGTCTAAGAATGTAAGGGAGGAACGAGATTGCCCAAGGCAAATACTGCTTGGATCGATGGATCATAGGACCTGTGTGGTGCTAGCACTTGCTTTATTTCTTGAAAAGTGGTGCAAAGATGGTGGTGGTGCAGCAGGCCAATGGCTGTTCACTGAAGGAGTAACAGACAGGAGATCTCAAGCAAGGGATATTGAGAAAGAGATTACCAAAGGAAAGGCTGCTTATGCTCGGTTCATCAAGCGCTACGTGTTTGATAATGAAGCCTTTGTTCCTGAAAKACCAGATGCTGATGGCAAGCTGGGCACTCATTCCTTTAGGAAGTTTGCCACAACCTTTGCAAGACAGTCCGGGGGATGCAGKGATAACGTTGATTACAGGGCGCGTTGGAAGTCTAGAAGGCAACAGGATCGATATACTGATACACAGCTTGCTTGGCCTGATATTGATATTGCATCGAAGCTTTGCTTTGGAGGAATCTGTCTTTACAAGCCTGAAAGGACAGGAATCACDGATGAGTGGCTTGCTGCGTCTGTAGCCCCTAATATTGCCAATGTATTTGGCAATCAAGTGGCTGCAGTCCTTGGCAAAGCGTTGCTTTGGGCTTGCTGTGATCCGGCAATGCAAGCGTCKGGCTTGATTCCTGAKGATGTAAAGAGGGACGTTGTTGCTTCTTGGATTCAATTGAATTACAGTTTGCCAGTTGCTGAGAKGTTGGATGGTGATGTGAATCCTATCAAGCGTGTTGAGCTGGTTGCTAATGAGTTCAGTGGGCAAGTTCACTTTGATGAGCTTGCTGATCCGGATGATCTAGATCGTGGTCCCGCCGGTGGTGGAGGAGCTGTTGGGATCCGTAGGAGTCAGTTGCAATGGAACCATGCAATGTTTTCAAAGCTATTTGCCACAGCTAATGAAGTGAATGAAATCAAGAACMGGCAGATTGCAAGTGAAGCTAAGTTCAATCAGAAGCTCAATCGAGCCATCCAGCTGTCCCAAAGAGCTGCCATGGCCCCTGTAGCAAGACGTCGAGGGATTGTCCGAGCTGTAAACAGTGGCGCGTCGGAAGCTGGTGGTGATAGCGCGAGTGGAAATGCTGAGCTGACTAAGTGTCCTCACGACCTTTATGTTCTTTGGAATGAATGGGAGGTGGGTGTTGGTCTAAACAAGCCTGCAAAKGACTTTACTGCCACTGAGAGAGGTCGTGTAAAGAGCAAGTACTGCAGGCGTTTGAAGTTCTGGAGATGCATGGAAAGACTCATCAGAGCTGGTTGTTCTTCAGAAGTAGCGATTYGCAGGATCTATACAGTGTATGGTGGTCAAACCAAGAAGGTCTCCTACATCCTTAGAGCTATGGTTCCCCATGAAGCTGTTGGGGGACACCACTTGCTCCGAGGACCGCCGGCGGCTGCTTCTTAATCGATCGACGCGTCGACGCTTTGTTCTTTGTTCTTTGTTCTTTGTTCTTTGTTGCATGTTCCTTACTACTTGTCCCCCCTCTTATATCGAAAAAAAGCATAAAAATATAGTGTACTGTGTATATGTGAACTGTAGTACTGTATTTTGCTATCCTCAACAAGAGGACCATCTTGTTAGCTGACAGGAGTGTTGGTATCGGTGTTGTCGGTGTTGTCGTTATCGACGTGATTGTCGAGAATTACTCTCCCGACTTKGTTTTTTTCTATAGAATTTGCCTTGTGCGTGATCGTGTGAGTACTTCTCATCAAACACGCTGATACTCCTGCACTGCAGTCTTGCCGCGCACTGTCTATAAGACCTACGAGT